AAGAAAAAATTATGATGGAAAAATTCTCTTCTCTAAAGAGAAGGATGAGCAAAATGGAAACCATCTTGGTGAATTCACCGATGAAATCTTCTTAAAAAATAATATGCTTCTATATTCAAATTAGAAGTCCTTGTGAACCCACCAAAACAAATCCTTTTTTGGGTCAAATTAAAAGTTGTGGTGAACCCACCAAAACATAATATGCTACTATACTCAAATTGAAATTTCTTATGAACCCACCAAAAAATAATTATCAAACCAATTTACCAATTTTTCAAGAAAATCAGTACCATAATTTTGTTTTTTTTTGTTAGCTGGTTTGTGGCCTGAGAAAATCAGAAAGCTAGGAAGTCCATACCAAATTAAACACTCTCAGCGGAACCCAAAACGAGCTCTTAATTGGGTAATGATTAGAAGGAGAGCAGACACGCCGGAGATGAATAAGCGGGTGCCGAAAGAAAGATGGTGCGCTTCAGAGAGTGGCGAGTTGGGGCCCCGAAGCAGTGTTGGGTCCTTCAACAAGTATACAAGAACAAACATACATTTCATCGGTTTCAAACAATACCGATTTACATTTAAGAATTTGGCTAATTGGTTTGATTGTAAGCCTTTCTACAATGTTAGTTTTTTCTACCAATTAGCTTTATTTTTTCTACCAAATCACATTTAAGAATGTGTCCAATTGGTTGGATTGTAACTAATAATACACGAGTAATCATTGCTACTCCTATGTACATGACAACTAGATTTTGACTTGAGCGGGATTAGTTTTTAACTTTTTTTATAAATTGTTTAATAATATATATATATAAGTTATTTATAATTTTTTAGGTTTTTACAAATCAATCCAGATCTAGAATAATCTGACTTGAATCTCGTATGAAAATTTATAATATCCAAACAAAATTTAATTTTAAAATCTAAACAAATGATACTCGAAAAACTGATATGTATCCAAATGTGTACATGAATGTCCATGTTTAACTGACTGTGTAAAAAAAATTCTTTTTTAATCGATTAAATTCTTGTACTAATAAAAAAATTTCATTCAAACTTGTGAAATTATTATGGTTAACACTTAAAGCAACTAACATCGAATTATTATGGTCAATATAAATAATGAAATAGTTTGAAAGAATGAAAGAATATGTAAAATATAATAGAATAATTAAAAATAGGTAAGTTATGTTTTGTAAAAAAAATACTGTCAATTTATTTAAAAAGAAACAACTAATAAAGTAGTTAAGATGAATGAAAAAAATGATATCATAAATTTGTTAAAAATAAGATTAGTTCTATTTTGTTGTTCAGTTTTAATAATATAGACTAGATTCTGACCCGTCCTTTGAGAGGGCGGGTATATATTTTGTTTTAAACTTTTTAAAAATTTAATTTTTTATCTTTGTGTACACTTTAATCTCTTTTCTAATAAAAACATCTCATATTTTGTATTTTAATTTTTTCAACTATTTAAGCGCAGTTAAAGATTTGTTTTGTTGCTGTAGTTTTGATCTATTATACCATGTCATGTACGGACCAAAATAAGTTGTAATATGGAGTATAAGTAATAACGTAATCATCTCTAGGTTCTGACTGCCCCTTTTGTATATTTTTTTGCTTTACATTTTTTGAAATTTAGTATTCATATTTTTTACGTTGTAATCGTATTTGTGTATTTTTTGTAAATATTTTTTTTAAATCAATAGTTTCCATAATTGTATTGAATTTATGATGTTGTATAACTATAAACTTGTGTCATAACCATTTCACACATTAATATTGTACTTTATTTCTAAATAGTTATTGAAAAAAAAAGAAGTATAGTTACAATTGTGTTTAGTAATCCAATAGTAATTAAATATTATATATTTTTCATTAAATTTTCATGATTTGATTTCATATATAATGATAATAAAATTTACACATAATATTTTTTATGCAATTAAAAATGAGTTGTAAATTTTGACTCAATGTAAATAAAGACCTTGTTACCTTTGTAACCAGGAAACAAAATAACCTAGGGGATTTCGGTCATCTATTCTAATTAAAGTTGTGGTTACAAATTTATTGGAATAAACATATACCAATATGTCATAATCATAATTTAATAGAATAGATGATATATTTGGATTTTAATATTTTTACATAATTTAAATGATATATGTATTCGAACTGAACCCGTAATGATCCAAATCAAATCCGAACTAAAATATATAAATATTCAAATAAGATTTTAATCTCTCATCTAAAAATCAACATCTGAATAGACGGAATCAAACCTGAACTCTTAACCTTACAGTGTTAATTCTTCTAAACAAGTACTATACACTCAACATCAAACAGTATTATAAGAATACAAAATCTTGTCATAAATAGAAATATATTTTTATTATATGTCGTAACTCTAACTTTTCATAAATTATTTATATTTTTATGTGAAATGACAAATAAAGAATTTAACTTTTAAAAGTTTACTATATTTTTAAACATAGTTTTTCTTTTGTTTTCAAATATTGATATAATTATAATCAATATTATTAAAACAGAATCATCATTATTGTTTTTGCCTTAGAAACCCTTGGCATATTACTTTTTTGCTAATAAACTACTTTTGTAAGCTGGAAAAAAAACCTCCGCTAGCAAAAAAAAGAAAGAAGAAGGAATAACCTCCACAATAATCGGGACCACTTCTTTCTCACAATAAATAGTAATTTTGAGAACGTTATTCTATAGCGTGCATCAATCTTTGTATTGTTCAGTATCTTGAAACTATTTTTGTTTGCTGCAGACATGTCATCAATGCTAAAAGAAAAAGAAGCGGATATGAGCAATCACAGAGAAGTTTCGATATCTTCTGAGTTAAGTTGTTCAAGGTCAAGTTGCACACGTTTGACCATTCATAATTCAGGTAAACAATAATTTTGTTTACATTTAGTCCTTACAACTTTTAGAAAATCAAATTTAGTCTAATCATTTTCTGTAATTAATTTTGAAATTTCTCAAGTTTTCTTTTACAAAGTTTCTAGGTTGTTTTAAGAACTACCCAAAACAGAAAATAATTAATATTCAGATAAAATATTTCCAAAAGGCCTTAAATAATAATTTAAGAAAACAATTTTCTTTTTGACAAAACAAACTAAATTTGTAAATTTTTTATTACAAAATTGTATAAGTAATGTGGGTAAAAATCAAAATAAGTAAGATTAAAATAATTTTTAATTATAAAAATAAAAAATTTAGTCTTAAAATCAAATTTATCTGAATAGTTTTGGAAATATTGCAAATATGAAACCATCTCTATAATATTATTTGAGAAGTCAGTTTCCTATGTGTCGCTCTCACGTTCATTCTCACGATGGTTGATTACATTGATACCCTTTAATGAATTAAAAATAGTTGAAAATAGTATTATTAATTCTTTTATTATTAGTTTTCCTTTTCAAAAATTTCCAAAAAAGATATGCAATAAAAAGGCATTTTTTTTATAAAGTCATAAAAAACAAATTTAAAACGAAAATATATGTATATATAATATGATTTCATAAAAAAAGAAAGTTGACAAAATAGTAATAATACATTTAAAAATATTTTTAAATAACATAAAAATATGTATATATAATATAATTTCATAAAAAAGGAAAGTTCACAAAATAGTAATAATACATTTAAAAATATTTTTAAATAACATAAAATATAATTTTAGAGTAACAAAATAGTTTATAATTAGTATTATTGAATTTTTATTTATTTTTCATATATTTAGTTGATTATAATATCTTTCAATTATAGAAAATTATCTAGAACTTATATTTTGCTTATATAATATTATTTTCAAATACAATCACAATTTTGTGTAGTGCTTATTTTTACGAGATATTAAAAACTGAATATAAATTTAACAATAAACATCGTTTCGTTAAAATAATTGTTCTAATGAGCTAGATATATGATATTTTATCATTATTAAATTTATTTTATTAATATTAATTGTTTTAAATTTTATGTTTTATATTTGTGAAACTAAATATAACCATAATCAAAATATCAAAGCAAATCTGAATTCACAATTTAAGATTATTTTAAATAAATTTCAGTTTACATTCAATAAATCTAAAGCATAAAGTTATTTAGAATTTATGAATGCATGTAACTTTATATTGATCATATGATAACTCAAAACATATTAACAAATAAAAATAAATACTAACCAACTCTTACAATTGTAGATCTTTTGTAAAATTTATATTTATCCATGAGACTTTAGAATATTTTTGTTATATTAATTTACGTATTTTGGAATCAGACACTTTAGTTAATTTTTAATTCATTCTAAGCACAATATATCTTAAGTTATACATAATTTTCCTAAAATATATTTACATATCTAAGACAACACCCACCATATGCAAATAAGTAACTAATTAAAAATTAATATATTTTAAAAATATTACAGCTGAATTCAGAGATGCAATCCATTTTATCTAAATGATAACTAAACCAACCGTAAAACAACAAAATTGACTGGTTATAACATATATAAAATTATAGTATAAGTAAAGTAATATAATACTATTAATATAAATGATGCATACAAATTATAAATTGATTTAAAATTAAAAGTAAATAATAATTAATTATTATTATATATTTAATTTAAAAATATTTATACCGTGCATGAGCACGGGAAAATCACCTAGTTTTTAAAATAATATCAAAATTATTTTAATCCATCCCCCTTTCAACTTATTTGTTTAAATTTGAATGCACCACTCTTATTCAACAGGTTCATATATAAAATATTTGACAGAAAATCTGAATGGAAATTGTAACATTATCAAATAATTTTAAAACAGAAAAGTCGAACCGTGCATATAGCACGGGCAGTAATACTAGTAAATAATAATTTTGAGAACGTTATTCTATAGCGTGCATTTGCGTTCAGTTTCATTTACCCACTGGACCAAACATTTATCAGCTGGACATGATCTAAATTTAATAGTATTAATTATCTGTTTGTGTATATCATTGAGATTCCTACACACACACACGCAAGTTTGATACAAAAGTTCCGCCTAACATTTTGTTAAGAACGATGCCAAATCTCTTATGATAAAACCGAAACAATACGCAAATTTGTTTATTTTAGAACGACGCCAAATTGCTTAAATCTAGAAGATTATGGCACTCACACAGACACATACATAGTAACGTTCTCACGGTCTTCTTCATTAGCCATGTAAGCCAACATGTCCGATGAGGTGATGACTCGGTATACAAATTTACTGCAAAAGAAAAGAAAAACAAACGTTTTTAATAGAAATCCTCAGTTCCAAAAAAAAAGCCGAAATTTATCAACTTTGTCCAATCTTAACAAGACTAAACAACACCGTGGCTAGTGTAGTCGCTCAAATAGTAAATCTGGTCAAAGTTTGATCTTTTTGATGATTCTATATTTATTATTTTTTCTCTTGTGGAGAAGATATGTATTTACGGTCCACTGTAGAGTTGTTTCTCTTCTTTCCAATTCAATCATGCAATCTCCGTCATGGATGATGAAGCCATGGTCGATGATAAGACAACCTTCATGTTTGCGTTACATCTAGATTTAAGTGGTAAGGAACTTATCCTAATCTTTTTGTTCTGGAAACAGTCGTCATAGAAACCACCATAGCTAGAGATTGTTTGTATTTTATATTATTTTAAATTTGCAGTTGTTTGTATCTTTTTTATTTTCTTTGTAATGATACATTTTATATAAATAACATAGTTGCTAAAAAAACCAACACCGTGGCTAGTCATATTTTTCGGTTTTAGAAATTTTTCATTTTGTATATAATGTGGAAACTCAGTTAGAACCCGATATGGTTGATTCGTTATGTTTTTTGTTTGTTTAGTATCAATTTTGATCGAAACGTTTTTAAACTTGAAAATATTTCAAAAAAATTTGAAAATAAAATAAAATGAATTTGGTTATGGCATGCAGTGGCGGAAAAAGTTTTATTAGACTGGTATTCCCTTAGTTTTATTTTACTTGTTGTTTTAGATTTTTGCATACAGATTAAGAAAACATTTAATTTTATACATTTTCAAAATAAAACACCTTTACTTATATATCTAACCACATTTCAACCAATATAAAATAGAAAAATATATAACGTTAATAAATTTTACATCGTAATTATAAAATGACACTTATTTTGAAACAGAATTTTTTCTCTACAACGACATATAAACTGAAATTGAGGGAGTATAAATTAATTTATCATAAAACTTATTAATTACTTATATAAATTATTGACAAGAAATAGTTACTTTATAATTTTTAATATTTTATATTACTTTGACTAGGTTTTCTCAAAGAATTAGTTACATTTATAAATTTTTATATAATGACTGGGGGTTTTTATATAATTCACTGAGGGCAACTGACAACTCTCTGATCATATGCCTCCGGCCGCCAATTCATTTTAGAAAAATAATGAAACCGAGTCATTTTCAGGTAACGGTTTGATTCATTTTAACCGAAGTAGTCTTACTGACTACTGAGTATGCGCGTTTAGAGTTTAAAAATGTGATTTTGGTAAGTAGAGTTTTAGAAACTCTTACCATGAACCCCTTGAAAAAATTAATGACATATTCCGAGTCGGTTTTTGTCTGCGTATATGCAACCATCTTACTCATTTCCTGCGCATGATGGATACTTTGAGGTTAATGACTTAGCTTAATTAATCATACAAAACCCTTAATGCGTATTGAGTCTATTGGCTGTGTGTACCTCTATCCACGCAGCTAGTTTTGGACGTCCGGCAGTAATATCGTACTTGAAGACTTCGCCGAGGAAGACTTGAAATCGTTGAACGAATGGGATATATGCGACATCAACCTTAATAAAACCGATAAATTTTATCTGTCTTTGAAACTAAAGGTTCACATTTTGCATCTATTAAGAAAAAAGGGGTTTATATATACCAAGCTAAGCTCTCCGAGGAAGAATGGACCATCATCAAACTTTTTTAAAGCATTTTCCAGGTGGTCGAAGACCGATGCTGCATAAAATAAAACATCACATTGTATTCAGCTTTAATTACTCAGGTTGCGATAACCTTTTTGTTTGTGTTTATCTAACAAAATAAAAAGATAATTTTATATTCGAACTATAAAACATTTTTTAGTTCTTTCATAAATTAACGAGTCATATGGAAATCAATCTTACCCGTATCTTTTGCCGGATCACCTTTGAAAGAGGCAAACACATTTTTAATGAATGTGGTATCAACATATTTCAACATGTCTTCACCAAAGTCTCTCTTTTCAGGATCCTAGAAAAAAAGTAATGATCCCATTGAAGGGGATTTTACATAACATGACAAGAACAAGCTCTATAACATCAAATATGTACGTGAAGGGCAATCCAAACACGGTCTTACGAGGGGGTAAAGTGAAGGACCGTCGAAATTGATATCCACATATTTGATTAAATCTAGACTCTCCCCGATGATTTTGCCATTGTGTTCAAGAGCAGGCACCTACATATCATTGTTACATTTCTAGACTATTATATTGTCACTGATGAAGGAACCTTAAAACATACGGACTTCAAATATCGGTTAATAAAGATGAATAAGGTTATACCTTGTTTGCAGGATTTACTTTCTCCTTGAACCAAGCTGGTTTGTTTGGAAGGTCTATAGGAACCAATTTGATCTTCTCTTGCAGACCCTATAACCCTCAATATCAAAAACAATTAGGCAGTCATGCTCTTAAAAAATCATATCAAGCATATACAACAGAAAAGAACACAAATTAAAGAAGGAAAACAAAAATAGGAACAAGAACCTTGAGGTTTCTGGTAATCCAAACACGTTGTGCAAATGGGCAGGTATAGCTTATGTACAGCCTTTGTTGTTACCATTTTTGAGTATTTAATAAAACGAAAGTTAGTCCAATATCCATCATGAAAAAGTATTTTTTGAAGCTTAAATAAATTAGTAAGAAAATAAACCTCGTGGTTCCATCGAATAAAGCAGGAAGCTCAGAGGTAGCATTAAGGGGAACTTGACGATCTTCTACCAAACTTCTCTCAATAAACAAAAAATGAAAAGAAGGTAAAGTTAGATGTTAACACTATAACGACTTTATGTAATAAAGAAACCTAACACAGTAATGGAAAAAAGATTGATCAAGAAATCCCATGAAAATAAGAGTAAACCAGAATTGAAGATTGAACGAAAATAACGAGGAAACCAAGAATATTGTACTTACAGCTGAGATAAAGCCATGTAAATGATCGTATTTTGCAAAGGATTATTACAAAGATGATGTTATAAGGATGATCGATCAAACATAGAAAGCCACGTATATATAACACATACTCGCAAAAGAGCATGGTTCATGCTTATTGGATCAGTAAACAGAGTGACAGATGAAAGGTCAATGTTTGATGATCTCTGGCGTTGAATCTTCCAAATTATCCACGCCGTTTTACGCGACCTTGCCGAATCAGCTAATCTTTGTATAGATAGATATTTAAACAATGAGATATAAAGAAAGGCAAATCTGAACTTTTTAAGTTTTTATCATAAAAATAGAACTCAAAAATTAAATGACCAAAATAACATTTTTTATTTTGAAAATTATAAGTTGTTTTTAGAAAAAATTGGAAATCATACCCCCAAAACTCTAATTCTCAACTCTAAAAAAAAAAGGATTAGTTACCCAAATGGTATAAATGTATATTTACTTATTTTTTATAAAACATTTAAATATATTTAGATTATTTTTATTTTTGAGATCTATATTTGTGATAAAAAAATTTTATTTGTATCCTAGAAAATTTCTCAATAAAGAATAGCTTATTAGATAATGAAATTAAACTATATATTGCATATAGATTTCTGAAACAAAGTTGAATATTCGTATTTGACAAATTATCCATATGGCGTAATTAGGCTTTCACCTACTTTCCATCATACCTATTTCACTTTATGTACCAACCAACCCATTTTGGGCTTAGGTCATATAAAGTCGATAACGAGTGCTTCAATGGACAGTGAACGGTGATATCATTATATATCCAAAGGTAAGTACCAATTGTGATATATGCATGGCTATAGATTGCAAACAAGAAACGTGCATAATTAATGGTTCGGGGGTATTTAGATCCGACCCGGCTCATTTTAGTAAAGAATTTAGACGATATCAATATGGTGGAACTATTTAGATCCGACCTGGCTCGTGAGAGTCAAATTTAAAACAGACGGACGGCTCGGCCCATCTTGGCCCATAAGCATGAATTTATTAATTGGACAATATTACCCCTTTGTTTTAGAGCTTTAAAAGCACCGAGTCCCCCCGACTCTTGTCGATCTAACCCTATCGATTTTGCTAAGGAATATCTTACGAATCTCCCTCTCTATCTTGTCAACGTCTATAGAACGATTCCAATGGCGAGCAACGGAGGAGTTAAGGACACGGCTACGGTGGAGAACGTCTCAGTGCTATCTACTGGTGAAATCCCCAAGAAGATCGTCGACCTAAACACTACGGAGCCAGATGATGACGTTCTCGACGGAGAAGTCAAGGAATCCACTGAAGTTTCTGGTGGTGAGAAGAAGGACGAATCCGACGCTAAGGCTGTTGGATCGACGGCGGCTGGGGATGTATCTCCGGTGGATGATGTCCAGAAGAAGATCCGACGTGCTGAGAGGTTTGGTGTTTCAGTGAAGTTAACGGAAGAGGAGAAGCGCAATTCTCGTGCTGAGAGGTAAGATTGTGACTCACTTCTCCCCTTAGGTCAAGTTTATTCGTTGATTTTTAGGTATTTGGAATATTAGGGTTACGAATTGTGAAACCAAATGTCGGCTAGATTGAATTGAAACGTATTTTCTCTCTATACAGGTTTGGTACTGTAGCGGCGGTGAAGGGCTCAGAGGGAACGAAGAAAGCAGAGGACTTGAAGCGAAAGGCTAGAGCTGACAGGTTCTGTTCTCATCATGTTTGATAGTTTATTTGTTTGATTGTTTGCTTTTGAGAGAAGTTGAGTTTCTTACTGGCTTTATATTTCAATCAGATTTGGGGTTCCTGCATCATCAGCCTCTACTAAAGTTGATAACACCGAAGAGGAGGCGAAGAAGAAAGCTAGGCTCGCCCGTTTTGGGAATGATACTAAAGTTGATTCCGCTGAAGATGATAAACGCAAAGCTAGGGCGCTTAGGTACTTTTCCATGCATCCCCAATTATCTTAGTACTTGAGTTTTTGAACATCTTTGTTAATAATGTGGTTTGTGACTTGCATTACCATTAGGTTTTCAAAACCTGCTTCTGATTCATCTTCTGATTTACCTGAGAAGCTTAATATTGGCAAGGTAACCCCTCTTTTAACCTATGCTTTGTCCTACCGTCTGTTAGATTGAGAGAATTAATAGAATAGCTAATAGTATGTTTTGTTTTTCAACTCTTTGTTTTCACAGGAGGCAGCTGTATCAGGCAACGCTGCCTAAGGTTCTTGAATAAAAGTCTCTTCTGTAGTTAGGTGAGTTTCACTAAATGATTATGATTGCATTGGTAAAATTTAGTGGTGCTTGGTTTTGTTTCTTGTATCTAACTTTCCATTCTTTGGTTTTGTCAGGTAGAGTTCGTTTTATGATTCCCCTCTGGCTGCTTGATTCTCTCTCTCTCTTTTTCTGCAATTAGAAGTCCCGGTGTGTAGTATCTTAATTAAAGTCGAAGTTTGGTCGTGGAGCAATGATTCTCTCAGATGGTTGGAAGCTAAGTTGTCACCAGATGAGACCATGAGAAACCAATAAGTAACCTATAGTTCTGATTGTCTTTAAAAAGGCAATTATCAATGTGTTAGGACCTAGGAAATCTGAAGTGGTTGGTATTTTTAATTTTTTCCATGTTGCAGGTTCTTGAAATGGTAAGTATAGATTTAAGCTCTTTTAACACCGCATGTTCGTACCAAGCTTGTTAGAAATCAGTAGTGTTGATTGCTCTTGAGTATATTTTGAAAACCAGCCTGAGTTGCTAGCCTATCTATCAAAGTAACTGTGGTTTGTCATCTTACTATTGTCACTAAAGGTAGCTGGTTTACATACATCTGTTGTGTGCTTGATTGCGTAAACTGCGTGCAAAACGGATCCCATTACCTATGTTTTCTTGTTTGGTTTGCTTATTAATATATATTACCTGTGAAGCCACTACTTCAGAATTCCTTTGTCATGTAAGACATCATTAGAACTATAGAAGTGCTTGTTGGTTTCCATTTCTCTGGTCTCTATGGCAATTTGAAGTGAAGGGAGTCTTCAGGCGTTGATTCTATGTTCGTGGGACTTGGACTTTGCTATCTTTCTGATGCTACACAGTTTCTTATGTGTCTGTAATAGATTTTAGATAAAACTTTGTTGATACATTTTGAATCAAGCGCCAGGAAACTTTTATGAAGGGAATGTAATGTTTTACTTTTGAATCTTATTTTCAGTTATTATGTTTGTGCTTATTTACAATTGTACATTTGTCGATGTGTCGTGTTCCTTAACGCTTAACATACTGCAAGTTTTAAAGTTGAACCATTGTCATTGATGATGAGGTTACATTGCAAGTACCCTCGTGTATAATTTGCATACAGGGGTACATTGGAACATATGTTTTTATAAAAAGAACATATCAAAGACCTCTGAATTAAAGATATTGTTGTAGCTATACTACTTGTTCGTGCTCCTGGTTCCGGACTTTTTTTGTCCTCAATGCATTGGGTAGCCACCTCTTACTGAAAGTGGAGAAGCCCAACCATTGGCTTGAACCATTTGGGGATCGATATAGACCACAACAACGGTTATATCGTCATGGAAATGCCTTCTAACACCAGGATTGATCTCCTGCAGGTCTGAGTATCTCATCTCTCTTTTCTTTGCTGCTTCCTTTAGTGCAGCTTTGAGTAGTCTCCTTGCTATTCCCTGGATTTTGTCAATGTATTAACAAATATATTCTTGTGTGCAAATGGTACAACAGAGAGGTGACTTAGGCGTTGAACTTACTTGGCGGGGGGAACTATGTACAATATCAACAGCTTCCTGGTTGCTTAGATGCTCCCAAAGCCCATCTGAAGCAAGAATCATAAACTCATCTTCTGGTCTAAGCCTAGTAACCGTGACCGATGGATCCGCACTAAGTATTGGCTTGGTGAAATGTTCTGCTACTCTGTATTTGGGCAGCAATGGCTCTCTGTTGAACTCTGCTCTTTTTAAGTATGCATCACCTATGGACTTTGTGACCTGTTCAAAGGAAAACAACACATTTTTGCTTGTGAGTTTTCAAATCCTCATAATTTTCTTAAGCTTGTATGCGTATGTTTTCATCATCAAGTAAATGGTGTCTACCTGGATGATGCCTTTCACACGCCACATCCGGTGCTTTATCACAAGAATGTTGGGGTCATTAGGATGCATTGACCATACCTCTTGCCTTGCGGACTCTACATTGGCATTGTGCTCTACTGACAACTGGACAGCTCTCACTCCACCTCTCTCAGATCTTCCCAACACAGCCCTTGAGTCTCCTGCGTTTGCAATATACACCAGCCCGTTGCATATCACCCCTGCCAAGCAACATGACCCCACTGATGCCATCTTTGGGTTCTTACGCCATTGCTTCTTCACCGCCATGAGAAAATCTTCCTCTGTCTCTGCAAATGCGTTCCTGATCACCTCCTCGGAAACCTCTCTACCCTCAGAGGCAAACTCTGTTGATGTGTGAAACATGAGTGTTAGTGTTCCTTACTGTTTCAAGAATGAGAAAGGCGTTGTGTGTGTCTTACTCTTTACATTGGGGAAGAGGTTGTCTGCAATGAATCTGGAAGCCTCTGGACCTCCATGACCATCGTAAACTCCAACGAACGTGCCTTGAACTGACGGATTGTTGAATGTTAATGGTCCTGATTCGATCTGGCACTGATCCTCCATAACACTGTTGGCTTGGATCATTGCCATGGAAAACTCCCCATAGGCGTGAAGGCCAAGATCTTTATACCATGTCGTGCCATCATTCTTTGTAGGACTGATCACACCGGCACCTATTCTCCAACAGGAGTTACTCATCTTTGCAGGGGAAGTGATAACAAAGTAGTAGCAGTGCTGGTTGTTAAATTGTGAGTTTCATCTTCAAGGAAGAGACCATATATATATAGCCGTGGACGAAGTAGAGTAAATAGAAGGTGTTGGAACCCATGAGAAGTGGCCAAAAAAAAGTATGGGTCAAAACAACTGAAAGAAAAAAAATTAAATGATTCAGAGAGTTAGGAGTACAAGAGGGAAGTAGTTTAAAGTGGATATTCAGAGATTCTCCTCTTTACTGTTCGGTTTTGATTCTCTCTGTCTTAGTAAGGGTTAAGTAAGAGCTTGTCATATTTTACTTTCTGCTATATTTTTAATCCATGAGATTATTATCATACCCTTTTTGTAGAAGAGATTAATCTTGTATAGCTTAGGAAGCAAGAATATGTTGACAGCCAAAATAGTCATATGATTATGGTGTGTTTAAACTCGGGTTGAGCCAGTGGATTGGATTGAATAAATTGATTGAACATATAGATTAGGATAAGGGTTTATGAGATAATGAGTAGATATGATGGAAATGCTTGTTTTCACAGTAATGGATCCCGTGTCTCTTTATTTTCTCATCTTTTGTAAATTTATGTTTTCTGCTGTTGGTTTTGCAGTTTGGTAATATGTACGTAGGAAGAAAATGGATAAGAAAGGAAAGGTCAAAGGATGCATGTGTGAGGGAGAAGAGGGCGTGGGTTTTCTGGAGCATTGAACTTAAACAAGAGCTGAGAAAGACTGATGAGTGAAGACATTTTGTGGGGCGAACGAGGAACACTCTTAGCTGTCCTAGCCCCTACAGCTTTTGCCCTTTTCTCTCAATCTCTTTTGTCTTCTCTTTTCACTTTTATAAGTTATAAAGAATGCTATCCTTTTGCTAGTGAGATTTAGATCGAAATTCATTTTGATGGATTATGGGGTTGTGATGAATTTTCCAAAGAAGATGAATCTATTTGGTCTTCCATGACCTTTCTCCTCATTGGCCTTCTCTGTCTATTCTCTCCTCGTTTTCTGTTGATAAGAATCCACAGATTCATGTCACGGTCGTGAGAAACACTGTCATGTGTTGATCGGTACATAACATTGATGAGTAGTTAATATCATCTAATAACATACTACGACGAAGCTAGCTAGCTTGAGTTTACGTTCGTCCCTCCTCTATACTTTTTTTGTTGTGCACAATAAGTGGGGCACATTTTTACATAATTAATTATTTGGCTCACAATTTGGTTACAGCTTTTGGTGATATAGATCTAAAATCAAATTAAAGAGTAAGAAAATCAAGTGTAGATTAGTATAATAGAAATATAGAAAGAATGGTCCAGGTACATTTGCTCTATCATATCATATAACTTTCATATATGGACCGATTAAATATTGAACATGTGGCCTTGAAACATATTGAAGAGTCCTTCTGTCCTTGATTGCACCATTACAGTACATTGTATTTATCATGTGTTCTGCATCCTTAATTTAATTCGCATCTTATTACAAAGTTAAACTAACACAGTCTCGTTTTGATTTAAACAATATAAGAAATCAAATGATCAAATATTAAATATAACAAGTTCCTGTATTTACAATTTTTTTTTATAAAAAGAGTTGTGGTAACAGCTGGTCCATTTATGCTGCACTGTGAGTTTTGTCTTTTGGTTGAGGGAGCATGGATGTCAGTCTATCTCTTTAGCTTCTTACTTCTTTTTGCTTTTTTTTTTGTTTTTTGTTTTTTTTTTTGGGGTTTAACATTGACCCAAAAAAACATTGAGCTTACCATTGTTAGTTAACGTATCCCTTGTAACACGAAAAGAACTATCCATAGCAAGAAGTGCAGTTACAGTTCAAGAACCTCTCAAAGAAATTGATTTGGATTCAATGTTAGTGTAATACGAAATGAACTATCCACAAACCTAGTTTCGAGGACTAACGTTTTACTTAATACTTTACTTCTTCCGTTTCTCCATAAGTTAGTTTCTAAAGTTCTTTTTTTGTAAACTAGTTTCTACATTTCTTTCTTTTCAACTTCACATAGTAATATGTACTAGATTACCTGTAAAAAATGATTATATATACTATTTACATGTAAATTGCTTATAGCTGCACTTCTTGGAATATTTTTCTTGAAGAAGCTACTATATATATATATATAGCTTGACTGGTTTATAATGAATTATTATTATGTATGATGTATGATGTTTTAGTATAAACAAAGTAAGAAAAGTTAAAAAAAAAAAAGTAAGAAAAGTTTATTTTTTTGTTAAAGCAACTCGATTACAACAAAAAGTAATAATAAACAATTAATCGTTACTATTCAGAACAAAGAATCAATTATTTTAACAGTTTTACATTAACAGTTTAGAAACATCATATAAATTAAAACAAAAAAAATATACTCAAAACATCGTATAAAAAGAAGAGGGAATAGTATTTAGCTTTTTTTTTTTTTTTTTTTTTTTTGAAACATGGAATAGTATTTAGCTGACTGAACAATCTTCCGTGAAAAGAAGGAATCTTATAGCGCTAATTTATTTGAAGAAATGAGATTAGCTTATCTACATTCTAACCTTGATTATTTACAAGTTCGAGTGATCACAATAAACAAATTAATAAAAGTGGAGACGTGGGCACGTAAAGAAAGAAAGAGTAAATAGAATGCATGGCATGCAGGAAACACGAGACAGACATCGTGAAGGTCCCATATTGTCTGGTCCAACCAAACCTTGACATTTTATCACATTATTCTGTCTATCTAGTAACTAGTGTTCTTCGTATTGCCGTACTACTTTATTATATTTTCATATTACAATCAAACTAAATTTATATAAAATTGAAGTTTCATTTTGTTTTCTAGCTAATTTCTCTGCAATTGTATCTGGACGTACTATATTATCATTTTAATTTTGATAAAAGATTAGATTTCTCATCTCATCTACCAACTTACTGTCTATCATCGTTTTCTGAAATTTTAATATGTTTGTACATTAATTAGTTATGCATTTATGATAATTTTGTCATACTACGTAGTGTATATTAGGATCGGGCACGGGACAAGTACTTGGACTTTTTTTTATACTTATAACTCAACTTGTCCCATTGGAGTAGTAACATTTTTTCTTCTATTTGTACTTGTTAATACCAAATACTTGATTAATCAAATACTCGTTCATACATGAGATATTTGCAAGTAACTTGATGTACTTGTATTTGCTTATCTAAAATATTTTTTTTTTGTATTTGAACTTTTAAAATAGAAATTTCATTCCAATGATTTTAAAATTAGGTGATTATTAGAACATGAAAATTTACTTGATTTTTATGTTACAACTAATGTGATATAATATAACGTAGAATTTGATGAAAGAAAAGAGATAATTATTTGATTCCATATGTTTGATATATTATAGTATTAAACTAACTGAAATAATAATGTAAATGTTATAAAATATTTTGAAAGTCAAGTAATGGGTCAAAACAAGTTAAGTAGCTATAATAGATTTAAGACTTGTTACTTAGTTTAGATTTGCAGGTAATTAATCAAATTTGCTAACTCAATTTACCCAGCCCTAGTGTATATATTTTAGAAAAGTAACGTTGGATATTTTCGATTTAAACCACCTAAAATTTCAAACTCTGCTACTAGCTTATTACAGAAATTTAATAGAATATTTTCAAAACTACAAATACTACCTATCATCTAAGACTTAAGTTTGTCTACGAAAAAATAATAGGATATATGCAGATACTATTCGTGATTTTTTTTGACGTTATACCATTCGTGATTTTTATAGTAGCTAGATGGAATAGATGCACATGACTATGGTTTCTCTAATCAATTGGTTGATGAAAAAAAAAATCATTGATGGTTATATGTTTACCAAGTCCAAGTGTAGACAGGGGTGGGTGTAGGATGAAATTTAACCGGGATCACCCGCAGATTTTTCACTATACATAATTTTTGGATTAGGAGCATTGTACAAATGTCAAGCTAATCCTTCAGAAAATTACAAAAAGTAGACGGGGTCATGTGACCTCATTACTCCCTCTCTCCGTCCGCCACTGAGTGTAGATATTTTATTAATTTATTATATATCATAGTCTTTGCACATATTTCTTACTTAAAACAGTTTGACGAAACCTTTACATTAGAATCGTTTAGATCAAATCTTACAGTTCGATCACTTAAAAGGTCTTATAACTCTTGTTTGCCTATTGCGTTTTTAGCAGTTCATTAGGTTTATTCATTGAAATCGAATATACAGTAAAACCTCTATAAATTAATAATGTTGGGAATTTGAAAATTTATTAATTTAATAGAGATATTAATTTACAAAAGTTTCCTTATTTGGATTTTTTATTTATTTTAAGATATAGTTATTCTAAGATAAGAAAAATATTTTATTTTAGTGTATAGACATTAATTATTATTTTTTGAAATTTAACATTTATATTAATTTTATTATATGGTTTGGTGTATATATATATTGCATAAAACCTAAATGTGATTTTAAATATAATATTACTAAACCTTATCAAAATTATAGTAAGTGTTAAGAAATTATAATGATAATTTCAACAACAATATCATGTAGGTTTTTACCTATAAAAAATACTAGATCTTGACCCGCGCACCGGCGCGGGTTTAACTTAATTTAGGAAAACATAATATACTCATAAGTCATCGGATATTACCGTATTTTAGAAACTGTGATCGTATTGAATGTAATAGGAATGGAGTTTGATTTTGGGTTCAACTTTTGTTGAATTTTTTATGTTTGTAGTTTTTTTAGTTCTACATATATAAGATATGTTCAGTTATCTATATAAATTGATTTGTGTCCGGTTCGATTCTTTTGGTTTGAGCTGGGTTTGGTAACAATTATAATAACCGACTAATATCAGATAAATTATTGGTTCCAATATGATAACGGTTTGGTTACGATTTCTAGGGTTAATTTTAGATTAATCGGGGTAAAACTGATTTTGGCAGAGGAGAGGTGTTTCGGATAAATATCCAGTTACGAAAACAAAATTTTAATATTTTAGTTAAAACTATTCAAGTATTTTGTGTCTTTATGATAATTTTAATAATGTAAAATACTTTAGATAAAAAAATATTTGAGTATTAAATTATTTGAAATGTAAATTGTTATTATCTTAAAAATTGATGTTATTTTTAATTTAGTCAACAACAAATAAAATTGAATATGGTCTTTATATAAAATATAAATTAAAAACACAAATTACTATAATGGGCCAAATGATTAAAGTCAACCATATCATAAAATAAATTGAATAAATGCTCAGTTCTATTATAACAATGTTTAAAAGCCTAATTCTATTAAACTTATAGGCAAACAACATTAAACTCTTTATTACTACTATTTAAGTTTCCAAACAAACTTAAAAAGTACTACAGTTTTAATAAGATAGATGTATACATATATGTTATTAATTTATAATTTTAACGGGACTATATATTTACATCAAAAATTCTAAAAATTTTTTATCTTATTATTTTATCGATATGTGTCAAATTTTGAACCGGTCCAAGTTGGGACCGACGAAAATTTATTAATTTATAGAGATTATTAATTTATCGCGTATTAATTTATAGAGTTTCTACTGTACGTAGTTAATTAAACTTCCTTTTATATGATTGGCATACGATTTTCATTAGCCCATGTTAAATTAAAATACTGATACTCATCAAAATCTGGTTGTAACGCCCTGACCGCCCACGGCCAATAAACCACCCACACCCGTTCTCTCGACCCATGGGTCCCATCCCGTTCCAACGGCCGGTCCGTTAATTTTCCAAAGCTTTAGAATCATGTTTACTGACCCTGCAATCACCATATGACATTTCCCCGTGCTTTGACCTCACTTACACGGTATCGCAAATCACTTCCCGATAGGTCACCCATCCTTTGACTACTCCAGCTCAAGCACGCTTAACTCTGGAGTTCTCTCAGGATGTGCTCCCGAAAAAGTAAGTACACTTTGGTGACATAAGTAGTCAAATCAATCCTCTTAAGTCTTTCTATATATCACAACTCGGGATGTTACAATTCACCCCCTCTCAAAGAACGCAACGTCCTCATTGCGCCCCACGACAGGTCTCAAGACGCCTCTCAGGTCAGAACTAAGATGGCTAACCAGCTCTGATACCACTTGTAACGCCCCGACCGGCCACGGCTTATGGGCCACCCACACCCGCTCTCTCGGCTTGTGGGCCTCATCCCGTTCCAACGGTCGATCCGTTAATTTTCCAAGGTTTTAGAGTCATGTTTACTGACCCGGCAATCACGACATGACCTGTCCCCGTGCTTTGACCTCACTTACACGGTATCGCAAATCACTTCCCCACCCATCCTTTGACTACTCCAGCTCAAGCACGCTTAACTCTGGAGTTCTCTCAGGATGTGCTCCCGAAAAGGTAAATGCACTTTGGTGATATAGGTAGTTAAATCAATCCTCTTAATCCTTTCTATATATCACAACTCAGGATGTTACAATCTGGTTCAAGTTCCTTTGAGTTCAGTCATTATGGTTAACTGATAGATATCAATGTGGAACTTAAGAAGCAATGGTTAGTTGTCAAAGGTCTTTAACAGTTTAGTAACTTTTGGTGGTAGACATAATTAGCTTGCAGACTTTATGCTGTAGTTAGGTATCTTGAAGGAAAAAAAAAAGGAAGAACAGTAGATTTTGCGTAGAACCAAAATTGCTATATGTCACTTGATGAGATTGTGCAATTATTTACGTGTACTATGAATGATCCATGAAAAAAAATTGATCATGTGGAACAAGTGGGACTAGACGAGTGTGTGGAGTAGAGTAATTATTAAGATAGGCTTGTTCATGTAGATCTTCTTGTCGTTATGGAATTTGTCTACTTTGACTACACAAATCACACAGAGCACAAACCTAATAGCCTATCATTCATACCAAATGATCCGATAAGATTATTTACAAAAATCTTGTTGAGTTCTAGAAAGAAGGATATCTCCTTGTTAGCAGTACCGGCCCTGAGGGGAAACATTACTAGCAACCGCTTCCGGCCCTCAAAAACTACTTGAAAAATTCAGCTTTTTTTATAAGAAAATTATTATTATAGTATATAAACGTTCTTATAAATATGGTCAATTTTTTGAAAATTGCTTCTGGTCTTTCCAATATCAGGACCGGTACTGCTGTTAGTGTATATGACTAAACAAAAAAGCCGCAGAACAAGAAGAAGATTGTCAAAAAGTCAAAGCAATATAAGATATCAAGAACAAAAGGTTTGGCTAAATCCATGGTATTCAAGGAACAGTGTTGAAAGATCAATATTTCACGTGACCACAGTATTCTATAACTCTAGTCTCTATGCATTTGTCCTGGTGTGCTGTCCATTCTTTCACAAACACTCATGTCTCTCAAAACCCATAAAAGAAATTCAATGGACGTCAAATAGTCCTTCAAAGACATTTTGATACTTTTACCCCTCAAGTCCATTTATAATTCACCAATCTAACAAGAAACTAAGTTTACTAATTTGATCCTATAACTCAAGGATGACCTTACTAAGTTCACCAGTTTGATCAACAGTTACAATACCGATTGTGGCAGGCGCCTTGTGTGCACCTCTTGTTGAGGTTGGAGGCATTTTTATGTTAGGGTGAAGCTGCAGCAGATATCAAACTCATTTTTATGAAGCTGAGTAAAGTGATGAACCTGTAGATGAATTTGGACTTGAACATTTGATATAACATGGACTTGAGCCACTCTGTCCACAAAATGTTGGACAAAGACTTTTGGTGTTCAATGGACTTTTTGGAGGTTATGTTTTGTATTAGCCTTTTACTGTATAGACCGCATAGCGCAGTGGATTAGCGCGTTTGACTTCGGATCAAAAGGTCGTGGGTTCGACTCCCACTGTGGTCGTTTTTTAAGTTCTTAACAAATTATTTTCCAGAAAATTTATGGTACGTTCTGATGCATCAAAATCTTGTGACTGACTATATAAACTTATCAACCATGTAATCCTTGTTTTTTTTCTTTGGTCAACAACCATGTAAACCTTGTTAATTTGCAGTATATGTGCTATTTACAATCCTTATAAGTCCAAACGATAGTCATGTTAAGCAAACTTGATATAATTTCGTCTTTTTAAACTGAATATTGATGACAAAAATCAAAATCAACACCAGAAAGCAGGGAACTGGTTCACTGTTTATGAGAACGACTCGAGTGATATAAATTTGGCTGTTCCATAACAAAATTTTGAGTAAAAATATAAAAGGTGAACAAAAACAGGGAGAGAATACATAAGCCAATAATCAAAAAAGAAGTTGAATCATTCATTTCTAGTAAGGAAAGCTAAAGAATGAAACTAGACTTTGATAGCATACTTCCTCAGAGGGAAGTACATCTCTTTCTTCTTCTCACGCTCTGTCTTCAAAGACAACTGCAACACAAAAAATAACACATTCCATATACAATTAAGTCATCCCTACACGAATGAGTAAGCTTAGCAATGATGGAATAGAAATGAAAAATGAGGATATGTAAAAGACCTGATGTTTGGTAAGACGTCTGCGGATGGCACGAGTCTTCTTGGGACGGAGATCAAGAGGCAAAAACTTCTTGTTCTTGTACGCTTCTCTTAGTGCTAGTTTCTGCTTCTGTGAGATCACTGTCAGAACCTGAGCAATCGATTTCCTCACCACCTTACTGTATTTACAAAACACACAATCCAATCAATTAATTGATTTTCTCAAATACATATTATATATACACAACATGTGATGTCCTAAACAGAGCAACACTTCCTGTAAATGCAAAGGCACTTACATTTTGGAGAGCTTGTTAGGGGCACCTCCGGTAACTTTAGCGACACGGAGGAGGGCGAGCTCAGCCTTGAAATCCTGAAGCTGGTTTTGGAGATCTGTCTTTGATCTCTCTCTAAGCTCGTGAACCTTAATCCTTGCTAAACAAACACACAAAAAATAACTAATCAGAATTGCGTAACTGACAAGTAAGGATTTTTCAAGGGATATTACCCATGGTGAGCTTCCCTAGTGGTGGTGATGGACTGATGCGCCGCAAAACCCTAATTTTGGAGGAACTATGCAATTTATTGTGAATCAGTGAGTTGAAACCCTTCGAACTCGAGTGTAGTGGGCTGTTAAAGCCGAATATGCATGGGCTTTTTTATTAGAGAACACACACTTAATGGGTTGTAAGGCAAAAAGATGAGATATAAAGTGAAATAGTGAAAGCAAAGAAGAGTATAAGTTCGTCAATAAAACTCCAAAAGCATCAATTTCTGATTTTTTTTTTTTTTTAGTTTGGCTTTCATGAGAATTAGATTCGGAACTGTTAATACAAGGCATGGTAAAAAAATTGATTTTGTTATTTTACATACGTTAATATTTTTCTCTAAATTTGTTGCAAGTTACTAAACGATAGATGATACACTACAAGAAAACTCGTCCTTTAGTAGGACGACTTTGCCTCGTAATTTCCTAGTATATCATTTATTAGGAATTTACGAGGAAACGCGTTTCTTCGAAACACGTTCATTGTAAAGTCTTTTTCCTCGTAAGGTCCTAGCTAATTTAAGAGGAAAATTTTCCTTGTAAACGCGTGGAGATGTTTTTCCTCGTAAGGTCCTCGTACACGTTTCCTCGTAAAGTCATAGTAAGACATTTCCTCGTAAACTCGTAGTAATGTTTTACGAGGAACTTACTACTAAAGTTTACAAGGACTTTATTTCGAAAATATTACGAGGATTTTAATTTGAAATGTTTTTTTCCTATCAAAAAATATTAATTAGAAATATTAATAATATATTTTTCAAAAAAATTAAAAAAACCGAATTATAAATAAATAAAAAATAACAAAATATTTTATAAATAACTAAATAATATAAAATTAAGTTTTAAAATTCATAATATACAATTAAAAATAAAAAATTACGGATGTTGGTCGTTAAATTGCCGAACGAAGTCGTCCCGGCTCGCCAAATCCTCCTCGTCCATGTTGGTCATCGACGGTTGTGACTGTGACGGTGGATGTTGTTGGGTTGGAAGCCCTCTGTTTTCCGTCTCAAACGCAACATCTCCGCCAATTGCGGGTTTCCAACCGCCAAAACGTCCAGGACGAACTCACATGAGACTGCGTCGCCTGCAACTCCGAGCGCAGCTGAGCAGTGACATCGTGCTGTTCCTTAGCATAAGACGATGTCGCTGTGGGGACATCGTTAACAGAGTCAATCCCGACGATACATACATTTTTCCTAGGGGCGACATGTAAATAAATAGATTAATAATTTTTAAAAATAAATTAAATAAATAATAAAATTAATAGAAAAATAAATTATTTACCTCCTCGTAAATCTTATCCACTTCAAGAGTGGATAATATGACTGCTGAGTCAGCTGGGTCTGGCGTTCGTCAATTCGAGCAACAACCTCGTTGTAGATCCGCTCGGATCTAGGATTTACAAAATGCCCAGCCTTGTTCCGGTGAGTTCTCTCGTAAAGCTCTTTTAGAGATAGAAGAACTCCTGTCTCTTTAGCCTAAAAATAATTTTTAAAATTAAATATTAATTAGGAATATAGAAACAGAGTAAAAATTAAATAGTTATTAAAAATTAACTTACCATGTCTAGACGAATTCCCCCGTGAGGTTTTCGACCCCCAGTGTGAAGTATCTTCTTGTTGCCATGCTCGTCTCTTCTCATGCGATTCTCGGAGTTTGTGTGGGAGGTTCTGACTGAGTCCGGCAACCCCCAATATCTGATGAGGCCATCCCACACGTCGAATGTGAGGCAATCGGGTTTCCCCTCCTCGTAACCATCCACCTGAACAAAAAATAATTTTAAAATGATTTGAATTAAAAATTCAATGATATAAAACTATATATATATATATATATAATTTATAAATCCATACCTGAAAGTCGTCCTTCCAGTTGTAGACCATGTCGAGCAATCGTGCTTTTGCCTTCGCCTCAAACTCCGTCTTCATCCGCTGGTAAATCTCTATAGACCAACAATATTTTTGGTGTAACCAGAAAAAATTAGAGTAATTAGTTCAATAATATTAATAATTGTAAATAATGAAAAATAAGGTAAGTTGATTAATTAATGAATTACAGCAAACGATTTGAACTACGTTTTTTTTTGTGTGGCTGGGCGTCTTTTTCCAGTTTGGAGCTGGATCGTGAAAGTATCCCTTGATACAATCCGTGACGCTCTGAGCGACACATCCGTCAAGACCAAACCTGGAAAGAAACAAAATAAAAACATTAATTAGATTAATTTGTAAATTTTTGGTTAATTAAGAAATAAATTAAAAACGCTTTTTAAAAATTAAAACATACCATAATATGTTGTGACCGTCCCGTCGGATATGATCTAACTCAGGCAGCCCTTCTCTGCCTGGAATGACCATAATATCCTCCACCTTGTACACCGCAAGTGGTGCGTTTGGCGGCACCTGCAAATAGGGATGAACCCCGGCGACCGGAGGAGGAGAAGGTGATGGATCAGACCGGGGAGCCGTAGAAACTCCCTGAGTCTCGGGAACAACGTCATGATCCAAAATCGAAGAACCGGGAGTTGACGAAGATGATGCGCCTATGTGAGGACCAGGCTGACGACCAAAAAGATCTCCGTAATGACTCCCCTGAAGAGGCCTCTTAGCCGCCGCCCTCTCAAGTTTGCTCTTTCTAGTCATCTAATTTTTTTTTTTTAAAAAGAAAATTAAAACATTAATATACTAGTATCTTTAAAAAAAATGGTTAAAAAACTAAATTAACTTGATCTAAATTCTCTAAACTAACCACCTAATCTAAATTCCTTAAACTAACCACTTAATCTAAATTCCCTAATCTAATCATCTAACTAGGAAATAGAGACAACCTTAAGAGAATTTAGAGAGAAGATTGCTACAAATGAGAGAAATCGGATGGCTCGAGTTTATATAGGGAATTTTATTTCCTCGTAAGGTCCTAATAAGTTTACGAGGAAATAGCTATGCCCGCGTTTAGGGTTTCGAGGCCTTTACGAGAAAATAGCTATGCCCGCGTTTTTATTTCCTCGTAAAATCCTAGAAACAGTGTTACTAGGACTTTACGAGGAAACATCCTTTACGAGGAAATAGCTATGTCCGCGTTTATTTCCTCGTAAAGTCCTAGTAACAATGTTACTAGGACTTTACGAGGAAACAACCTTTACGAGGAAACAGCTATGCCCGCGTTTTCTGTTACTAGGGTTTTACGAGGTAAGGGTTTTTTAATCTCTAAACTCGAAGCCCCAAACCCCAAACCACAACTTCCTTAACTTATAACCTCTTCTACAACCAAACTCCTAACCTCTTCTACACATAAACCCGAAATGCAATTAATTTTGTGATTAAACAAACTTAAAACATATATAATTCAAATTCATTTTTGTGATGTCATCAATTTCTGCTTCAGGTTCCTCGATCTCATTGGTGTTTTCTTCTTGTAATGATTTGCGCTTCAATTTGTTCTCTAGTTAAATATGGAGGAGGAGTGTCTCTGACAACCCTTTTGTGCCTGAACAATTTCTTGTTTCTTCGGTATGGGTGGTAAACGGGAAGAAAACGACGGTGACAATCGAACCAACTAGTCTTCCTACCATGCTTCAACTGAAACGCATCTGTCATTCCATTACAATATGGACAAGCTAATCTCCCATGTATAGTCCACCCAGACAACATTCCATATGTAGGAAAATCACTTATGGTCCACAAAAGCATCGCTCGCATCGTAACGTTTGTTTTCGTTGAACAATCATATGTCCTCACCCCTGTTGACCACAAATTTTTCAACTCTTTTATCAGTGGTTGTAGAAAAACGCCGAGATATCTTTTTGGATGCTTTGGACCATGTATTAATATGGTCAAGAATAGAAACTCTCGTCGCATGTACATCTGCGGTGGCAGGTTGTACGGTGTAAGAAAGACCGGCCACAATGAATATTGTCTCCTAGACATTCAAAATGGACTAAAACCATCAGTGCATAATCCAAGATACACATTCCGGCTATTGCTAGCGAAATGTGGATGTACATTGTTAAAATGTTTCAGGCTCTTGTATCTGATGGATGAGTTCTCTCTCCATCCGTCTGAGTATGCTCGGCGTGCCATCTCATCCCTCCTGCAGTCTCCTCAGATTGGCACAATCTTTTCAATTTGTCTGTGATTGGTAGGTACCACATCCTTTGGTACGGTACCCTATTACGCCCTCGACCTTGCGGTTTAAATCGTGGCTTCTTACAAAATTGACATTCTTCTAACTTCTCATCATCTCCCCAGTAAATCATGCAGTTGTCGATGCAAACGTCTATCATCTCCGAGGGCAACCCAAGACTATATACCAATTTCTGAATCTGATAATAAGATTCAGCAGACACATTGTCTTCTGGCAAATACTATTAAACAAGTCTGCCCATGCATCCATACAGTTTTCAGGTAGATTGTGATCGGTTTTAATACTCATCATTCTAGCAGCCAACGACAATTTAGACAGACCTTCTCTACAACCACTGTAAATTGGCTCATTCGCAGCTTTTAACATTTCATAAAAAAATTTTTGCATCTAGGTTAGGTTCTTCAACTTCATCATCATCTTGAGTTACAAATGCATCACCTACCATATCATGAACCCTTTCACAATCTACCATTTGTTCCTCTTGGTGATGATAGCTATTTTCATTACGCAAATGATCAACCGGTTCAACCTGAAAATTGCTATTACTACTGCTACCTTCATTCCTACAACTAGCATCTTCTCCATGTTGATACCAAATATAATAATATGGCATGAAACCTCTATTTATTAAATGCTTCCAAACATTTTCACGAGGGTCTAATTTTGTATTGCAACATTTCCGACAAGGACAGAACATCTTACCACTTTCCTGCGTGAGTGGTGTAGAATCTGCTTGATGCATAAACGTCTCCAACCCTTTGAGAAATTCTTTCGTCACTCTCCCGTTATTATCTCTGTGTGAATACATTCACTTCCGCAACTCGAAAATATTTCCCGGACCGGACATTTTTTTTGTCTTTGATCAAGCTTAAAGCTGATTTTTTATGTGTGTTTGAAAGGGATCACAAATGGTGGTACTTATAGAAATTTTCGAATCTGAACATTTACTAGGAAATTGCTAGGAAAAGTAGGTACAAAACACGTTTTAAATTTAAATTACATATTTTCTATCAAATTTCTCGCTAATTTGAAGTAAAAGATCATTTCCTCCTAATTTCATAGTAAATATTTACTAAGACTTTACGAGAAAATGGTCTTTTGCCACGTAATTTCCTCGTAAGTTTACTAAGGTATTACGAGGAAAACGTTTTCTCGTAACTTTACAAGGAAACTTGTTTTCCTCGTAACCCCGAAGTAAGCTCGTAGTAAATTTACGAGGAATTATTTTCATAGTAAAATTTCCTCGTAAAATTTTAGTTTTCTTGTAGTGATAACTAGATGCGCTGTAGAAGATTAATCACTAGGCAAATTATTTAGAATCTAGAAGTTTAACAAATTATTGATTTATTTTATATATTTTACATATATATAAAATATATTAGTTTTGTCTTTATTTATATAAATATTTTTTTTATAAAAATTAGATTCAAAATAAAAGAAATTAGACGAATTTCTGAATTTATACTAACCTTAATGCTTAATTCAACATATTTAGACTTAGGTTGATTAAAACGGATATATATAATTTAAGCCGATTAGCATCGTATAAATTAGATTTTATAAAAATTGTTTCGGTTAATACCATTTTTTTTTGTAGATGAGGCCTAGACGTCCTTAAACCTATTTTTTAAAACTATGGTTGTAACTTTACTTTTATATCTTTATATGTTCAGAAAAAACCATCCAAACAAAATAGTTTTACATCTATTCTATTAAAACAAAATTCTACTTTTATCTACTTATAAATAGCTTAGGTTGTACCATTTCATTTTATTATTTTACATATAATACTTAAATATTACTAAATTTACAAAATTTTATCATATTATTTAAATATTTTCAAAATAAGATATTAAAATATTTTATCAAGTATCTTTTCTAATATTGTATTTTGAAAATATCTCTTAATTTTTTCTTTAAAGGTAGATATTTATTGTTTTATATTTATTTTAAATAATAGAAATTCGTTATTTAAAAATAATTATTACAAATGAATACTAATTCATTTTGATTTATTACATAATAAATAGCATTTTTATAATATTTACAAATACATAATTCATATCATAATTAAATCAGAATAATATATAACATAACTTAATTACAACTATTTTATAAATTATAAATTAAAATAGTCAGATATGCATGATAGCATATATTAATATAGTTTACAACCTACTTAAATTTATTTATGCAAATATTAAATTAAATATCTAAAAGAATAAATAATCTTATATTAACATAGATATAGTTTATAAAACATAATCAAGTGTATATATTTCTAGGTCCAAAATAAAAGGGCTTGTTGCAAAAATGACTCAAAACTCCAACTCAAAAACGAAACTAACATTCTATTTTTTTGAACATTTCTTTTGTCCAATTCACTCTAGAAGTTCTGATTATTTACAAAAATACCATTTTTTTTTTTGAAAAGGAATGTTTTACTCTCTCCCATCCTCATCTTCATCAATTAATCATGAAATACCATCAGTTCACCCAACAACCATGAACTACCAGAATGAAGTTCTTAATGCATCTAAAAACTAAAATTTACTCATTCATTCCTATAACTTATTCCCAAAAACTACATATATATCTCTCACTTTCTAGCTATATTCATCCAAAAAAAATCTAAATTTTTTTATTCTAAAATTTTTTGAGGGTTGTATAGCCAAACTCACGATTTCTGGTTATTAACGATTGAATAGTTGTCCTAATGAAGTTGTGTGTGCTTGGAGCACTAAGCAAGTTCTATGAGGGCTTGCAGATATGAATTGTTTTTTTCTTTCCAGATTTGTTCGCTAGAAGACTTACTTTTGTAAGTCTTGTAAGTCTTTTCATTCTAGATTACTTCCACAGAAGTCTTCTAGTCAAAAAAATATGTTAGTTTGGCAATTGACTTTCTGTGTGTTTTTAGAAAAAAATGTGGTTGAAATTTTTGAATTTTCTTTGTTAGCAGAAAAATTTGAGAAAATTTTCCTGGAAGTCTTCTCGGATAAATAGGTTAGTTTTGCAATTGACCAATCTGTGTCAAAAATTTGACTTTCTATGGACGACTTCCAGTATTCCGCCAGAAGACTTACCTGAAAGTCTTCTCAACCCTTACATTAAGTCTACTAAGGTTTGTGTAGGTTACTTTTGCAATTGAAAATTTTAAACTTAAAACATTTAATTTAAATTGGGAGACTTCCAAGTATATTTAAATATTTATTAATATTTTTATGTTTATTCATTTTAGATAATATATTATTATATATATAAAAGTCTAAGATATGTTAATTTTAGACATGTATTATATAGTTTGCTAATTTTAAGCCTTTCTATCATTATATTATATTTTTAAAATAAATCATTTATATTTATGAAAATAAAATTTATAATTTTATAAATATAATATACCTTTATCATATTTAGTTCAATATAATAGTTGTCTTTTAGCATGATGATTATGACTGTGAAGTAAATAAAATAGGATATAATTAAAAAATTTCATATTATAACGATAACATAAAATAGATTAACTTATTGTTATATTTATATTTAATATGAAAAGATACCATGATTAAAGTAGTTATAACGATTTTATATTATTAGGTTTAATGAACTACATGTTTATTTATATACATGTATTATATAGTTTGCTAATGTTAACCCGTCTTACCAACATAATATTATATAGTTTGCTAATTGCGAAATTAGTGAAAATATTTAAAAATAATATCAAAAATGAAGATCTTATAAAAATCTTTTAGAATAGAATTGTTAGAATTTAAATAAATATATTTATATTTAAAATAAAAATATATCAAAATATATTATGGTTAAAGCATATTAAAGATTCTATATATTATTAATTTTAATGAAATGTATAAAGTAAAAGTTTCTAGTAATAGTTCATTTAAAAAAAAAAAATCACACATGAATCAAGGTCATGACTTCTGTTTTAATATATAAGATGAATTTATTTTAATATATGTGGATTGAATGTATTATCACTAAAAAAATAAATCATAATATGTGTAGTATAAATTTTTTATTGAAATTATTATTTCTTAGTATTAATTTTGAATGAATTTATATTTATAACTTATATTAATAAATATTATATTATTCTAATTAGACATATGATTTTGGATATATTATAGTATGTTTGATTTTTTTTTTTTGGATCAAAAGTCGATTTAGTTATCAATTCAATATATTGGATAATATCTATTTTTGAATTCAACTATAATATTTTTATTCTAAATATAATAAAATTTTGATTAATTTTCTTATTTTCATATAGGTTGGTTATTTCTTAGATATGTAAATATATTATAGTTAGATTATGTACAACTTAATATATAAATAAAAATTTGCAAAACTACATTCAAAATTAGCTTAAAATGATATAAATAATAAACTGAAGTGTTTGATTCCAAATTACATAAATAAATATAACAGTAATATTTTGAATTCTCATGCATATATATAAATTCTACAAAAGGGAGTGTAGTTTTGCATATAAAGCAACGAGATTAAGATTTTCATTCAAGAGATTGCTTCTTTCTCTCGTTAAAGAGATCCACTGGTGGATCTCTCTTCTTGCTCTCGCAATCCTCTGCTTGAGGCTCTTTCTCAGCCAGCTTCATCTGCTTGAGAACAAACCAAATGGGATAAAATTTTAATTGAGACAGAGTTGGTTACAATGCACAAGCTAAGAGAGGCAAGGATGCAATGCTGCTTACCTTCAGATTATGTTCTTCGCTTTCGTTATGGAGGAGTATGTTGTATTCGTCGTAACCAGGATAATTGCAAACTGGGAAAAAAATGTCTAGGCTTATCATCATAGTCCACGGGCACAATTCCAAACAACTGAAGAGGTACATGACAATTATTACAAAAAAAAAAACTGAGGAGGAGGGGGGGATGCTCACCTCCTTTTTGTGATGAATTCGTCACATTTGTCGTAAACAGCATCGCATATGTCGCACATGCAGATAAATTATCTTCATCGTCCTCCGCCATGGGAGGACATGATAGGTTGTCAGTCAATAAAGTTTCCCAGACAAACTATTTCACAAACATTTTCTCCTGACCAAAAGTTATTGGGCAACTATCTTTTGGATATGCACAAAACTTAGGGTTTCTTGCAACTTTGAAAGAGCCAAGATAGAGAGAGAGATCTATTATTTGATCCGTTTAGGGTTTCCTGCAATTTTAATCTATTATTTGGCACAAAACATATGGGCAACCTTATGGCCTTATTTTATTTTAATTCTATATTTTGTGAACTTTGAAAGCAAGGAATTTTTAGTTCTTTTTAATAAATATTTTATTATAAATTTCCTATTTTAAAATATAACTAGGTGTCTCGTCCGCACTTACGGGCTTAAGAATTTTATAATTACTTATTAATACATGTATTACTAAATAAACAATTATAATGATAAATTATTATTTATTTTTTATTTGAAAATTCTTACTTATTATAAATTGTTTGAAAATTATTTTTGTATACTAGACTGAACATTAATCTATACTATTATTTAAGAAGTAAATTTGCTTAGTTGTCATGTTCTCCATAAGTTTAGGTAATTTTGTTTATTTATCATATTTTAATATTTATATATTATTTATTTATAAATAAAACAAATTTATATGAATATATCATGTTTTAGAAAATAAGATAATTCTTGTGAATTATGTTGTTATCTTGAAATATATTTTATATATAAAACTTAAATTTTAAATTAAGATACAAAAATTATTATATTTATTATATAACTAAAACGAATTTATATTAATAATTTTATATTTTTCTAAAATAAGATAATTCTTATGTATTATGTAGTTATGTTGAAAATATATGTTCGTATTATAAAACTTTAAATTAAGATGTAGAAGTTATATTATTAATAATTAAATTAATATAAATCATCAAAACAACTATTTGAAAAGTAAATTTGTTGATTTGTCTCCATGATCCTAGGTAATTTTGATAATTTATCAGAATTTCTCTAATTTTGTTTAATATTGATTATATAATTAAAACTAAATTATATTAATAATACGATATTTTAGAAAATAAGTTAATTCTTACATATTATGTTGTTATCTTGAAAATATATTTTTCTATTATAAAATTTAAAATTAACATGTAAAAAGTTATACTATTATTTAGGAAATTAATTTGATTTTTTTTATTTGTCATATTTTCCATGATTTTAAGTAATTTTAATAATTTATCATAATTTCTATAATTTATATATAATTTATTATATATTTAAAACAAATTTATATTAGTAGTATGAGATTTTAGAAAATAATATAATTCTTATGTATTAAGTTGTTGTCTTGAAAATATATATTTTTATTAGAAATTTTAAATTAAAATATAAAAATTGTAGTTATTCTATAATTGAAATAAATTTACACTGATAATAGTATACTTTTACAAAATAAGGTAATTCTTCTATATTATGTTGTTATCTTGAAAATATATTTTTATATTATATAATTTAAAACTAAAATATAAAATTATCTATTATTATTAAATATAAATCATCACTAAAGAAAAAAATATTTAAGTAGTGAATTTGCTGATTCATTTAGTTCTCCATGATATTAGGTAATTTTAATTATATGTCATAATTTCTACAACCTTATATAATTATTATATAATTAAAACAAATTTATTAGGGATGGGCAAAAAACCCGGATCCGAAGAACCAAACCGAACCCGATCCGAAAAAGTAGTATCTAACCCGAACCGAAAGTGATTCAATATCTGAATGGATTCAAAATTTTGGTATTTAAAGAACCGAAACCGACCCCGACCCGAACCGAAGTATTTCGGGTACCCGAACCGAAGTATTATATATATATATATTAATTATTTTAGATTAAATCTATATAAAATAATCAATATATATATAATACTTTGAAATTGTTCAAAATACTTGTAAATATATGTAAATAGTCAAACATACGTGTCTAAAATTGCTAAAGTACACTCATCAAAAATACTTTAAAAAAATTATTGATTCACAATCCAAATATTCAAATTAAACTAATTTATATCTTAATTTCAGGAATTTTGACTTATGTTATTCAATTATTTGTAATATATTATTTTGTTTACAGATTTTTAGAAAATTAAAGCATATAATCAATTTTAAAAATTTTAAAAAGATTTTAAATGGGTTATCCGAACCCGAACCCGAACCGAACCCGCAAGGATCCGAACCGAACCGAAATTTTGAAATATCCGAATGGGGATAAAATTTGTGAACCTGAAAACCCGAAACCTAAATAGATCCTAACCCGAATGGGTACCCGAACGCTCACCCCTAAAATTTATCATATTATATTTTCTGGAAATAAATAACTTATACATTATATTGTTATCTTGAAAATATGTTTTTATGTTATAAAATTGTAAATTAAGATATAAAGAATTATAATCAAATATAAATTAAGTAAAAATATTTGTATAAATACTATAATATAATATTAATCAAGCAAAATATTATAGAAATATATTATTTTGAATATTTCCAATGTTTGAGTTTTGTCATTGATAATTATTTGATGTTTCATTTATAATTTTTGAAAACATAAATCATAATTTATTATGTTGGTTTTTAAATTAATGAAACATCAGCTAATCAATATTTATAAGAGAACTATGCCAGCGGGCAAAATACCTAGTAAATTATAACTCTTTGTTATCTTTTCAATTATATAAATTAAGAATTTATATTGATAAATACTTTTTTATATTAATCAATATAATAATAATATTTATATAATTGAAAAGATATGTCTAGATTTGAAGACATTCCTTCTCCGGTTCCATCAGCATCCTGTCTTTCTCGGCCTCACGTTCACCTATTTCAACCCATATTTTCAGATTCATACAACCAAAAAGCCATTTTTAACTCATGAAATTAGCCTCTGTGCAAGAAAACTAACATAGATTTTAGTACAAGAGCTCTTAAAAAAAAATCAACAGTTACATGTAGACCAAAAAATAGTAATGAAAATTCCAGAAAATTGCGATAAAACCGAGATAGTGACTACAAATTAAAGAAAAAAAGAGGCATGTTTAGTCAAAATTCACAGGAACCCTTTGACCTAGAGAAGAAAAGATGATAAAAACAAAAAGGCTAGAGAGATCAATATTTTAATATAAATTTTGATTTAGTTATACATGAATTATATTTAAGAATACATAAGTATATATTTAAAATTATAATCTAAGATAAATTTCATTTATTTTTTGAGTTATTTTTCGAGTTAAAATATATTAGGTGGCTTGTCCGCACATGCGGAGCGTAATTTTCTTAATAATTCGATAATTTTCTTATTAATTGAAAATAATATTTCAAAAAAATTTAAAAGTTTTGATGTTTTTATTACTATATTATTTAATGTTATTTTTAAATGAGAAATGAGTTATTACTATATTTTAATTTTCTACTAAAGATTATATGTAATTATCGATGTCATATTCTAACTTAGTCTATGTCATATTTTTCTGTTATGATATATCATCATTTTTAGTGAAATTATGTAATGATGACACATCAAAATTACTTCACAAGTAATGTCTATGTGGATAAGAATAAGTGATAAAGATTAAAACAAATGAAGAAAGAATATCCAAGTATCTTGATTAATTTGAACTGAATAGTTTTGGTCAGCATATCATTTATGGAAAGTTAGAATACAATCAATATCCTTTTTCTTTTTTAAAATGAATACAATCAATATCCATGGGTTATATATATATGTTTCTCTTGATTCAAACTCTCTCAATTAGTTAACTATATCAACTGAGATTGCAATCTGCAAAGTAAAATTGTGATCGATGGAGAAGTCAAGTTTTCTTCTTGTGGTGATTTCGTGTGGTCTCCTCTTCGCTTGTGTAATTGAAGCTACTGAGAAGAACTTTCAGGATGAGACCAGCCATGTACTTGGGCCTAGAAAACTGCTTAGAGGACCGGCTGATTCACCACCACGAGGTCCACATAAGCCAACCATGGTCGGTGTAAAGCCATGGTCACCATCACAACGCCTTGTGTTTAGAATGTTACCAAAATATGTTCCTATTCCGCCATCGGGACCTAGCAGAGGAGAGACTCCTCCATTGCCCTTTAGAACCGTGTAATGATCATGTGAATACTTCTTCTAATACAAACCGAGTGATCTGTGAGAAATAAATTATGTATGCCAAAGTTTAAAAGAGAAATAAATTATGTATGCCTTAAGATTTGATCTGTGAGATCTGATGGATAATCGGTAAAATAGTACTACATATAGTTTTATAAGTTTAATATTGTTTATAACATTAATCAAATTTGCATGTAGTTTTCTAAAAAGATTATAGTTTATTGGAAAAATTGGCTACTTAGGCCATATTCAGAACTGGTTTGTCACTATATACCTTGGATCCTACATTTTTGTCTCATTAAACCTTTGTTAATTTTTAATACGGAATTAACCCTCTAATTTTTATATAACAGATAAATAAATATTAAAATTAATTAAATATATTTATAGTATATATGTGTTTATCAATTAATAAAATAACAGACTCATATTTTTTTTTTGCTTATTAAGTTCTTAAATAATAAAAAAGAAAATAACCCTAAAAATTATTTAATTATTAATTTACATTTTTCTCTCTAAAAATTTGAATTTTTTTTTCCTTCCAAAATTACATAACTACTTCATCTCGACAAAACTATAGAACTAAGCTTCCCCATCAAAACCATAAAATTACGTTTTCAGCTAAAACATAAAAATAATATTTTCCACAAAAACCCAAAAATCACATGTTTCGCTAAAAACGGAAATTGCATTTTCAGTCAACACAGACAATTATTTTTTTTTCCACCAAAACCAAAAAGTTAAGTTCGTAAAATTAAGTTTTCCCTCAAAATTCGTGAAATTGTGTTTTCTCGTCAAAACTGTAAAATTATGTTTTCTCAAAAAATTGTGAAAATTTACATTTTTCTGCCTGAATTATAAAATTATGTTGTCCCACCAAAACCGTAAAATTATGTTTTCTCACCAAAATCGTAAACTTACGTTTTCTCGCCAAAACCGTCAAAATTACATTTTCCGACAAAACAATGAAATTACATTTTTCCGTCTAAGTTTTTAAATTATATTTTTTCGCCAGAAGTTTGATTTATAGTTTTTGGTTTTTTTGGATTTTAGATTTTGGTTTTTTATTTTGCAGTAGATTTTAGTTTTTCAAAAAACATGAATGGTGATTTTAGATTTTGGTTTTTAGTGTTTAATTTTAAAATAATAAAATGAAAATCTTATTTAAAGTAAAATATTAGTCTGGAAGTAATAAAATATAAAAATACCATTACCAAAACACAAAAGGTTATTTGAAAAAAAACCCAAAATAATATAGTTCTATGTTTAAACATAAATATAAAATTTAATTCTATGTTTAAACCTAATTTCTATATATTTCTATACTTTCTATTATAAACTTGTACATTTAATATGTGTTGTTATACGTTTATATTTAAGCAAATGTGTAGAAATTTTTTTTTAAATAAAGTTTTTCATAACTATAATCTGTATATATTCATTACTGGTTAACTACAGAAAATGAATTCTATGTGTACAATTTATATATATATATATATAAGCATTACTTTTTGTAAAATTTTAGAATTAAATAACTGTAGATAAATAATATATATGAATTTAAATTTAAAATTTAAATAAAAATTAACAACTATTTCTAAAACTGTGGCAAATAGAAGTCTTAACATATGGTATATTACATAATAATAGTCATATTTATGAATAAAATAAAAATTATTTATATTGTAAAACATTATCAAAAGACTGAACTTTATTAAAACACTTTATATAAAGTAATAAATATTTTTTAAGAAATAAAAAAATAATTAAAGTGTAACAAAATTATTATACTTATAAATAAAAACTTTAATTAGTTTGCTATAATATCTATTAAAACATTAATAATTAAATCTTATTATATAAAGTAGATTTTTCTCTCATGTAAGGTTGCCATGTCACTAATCTATACTATTATTTAAGAAGTAAATTTGCTTAGTTGTCATGTTCTCCTTGATTTTAGTTAAATTTGTTTATTTATCTTATTTAAATAATTTCATATACAATTTATTATTTAATAAAAACGAATTTCTATTAATAATATTATACTTTTACAAAATAAGATAATTCTTATGTATTATATTCCTATCTTTAAAAAATATTTTTTTATCATAGAAATTAAAAATTAAGTTACAATATTAATAGCTAAAGAAAACAATGCTGATTTATCAACTTCTCCATGGTTTTATACTTTCCTTATCTATACTATTATTTAAGTATTAGATTGTTATCTTAAACATATATTTTCTATTAGAAAATTTAAGTGAATTATCTAATTTGTAATTTCTCCATGATTTAGATAATTTAGATTATTTGTCATATTTTTAATAATTTCATATAAAATTTATTATAAAATAAAAACGAATTTTTATTAAAAATTATTTTTTCAGAAAATAAGATACTTCTTATGTATTATATTGTTATCTTGAAAATATAACTTTTATTATAGAAATAAAAAATTAAGATAGAAAAAATATAATTAAAATAAATTAAAGCAACACATTTGTAAAAATATTTTGTTATGTGAGTGTTTTCATTTATAATTAATTTCTAAACATAAATCATAACTTATTATATTGGTTTGAATTAATAAAATACAGACTAATAATAAATTGTACGAAAATTGTGCCCGCATGTGCGGGCAAAACACCTAGTTAGTCTCTAAATGTGAAGACATGTGTCAATTTGAAATTTCATTTTCTCTTTCAATAATGTTATTTCTGAGTTTTTCATATCAATAACTGTTTTGGGCTTATTTTGGGATCAAAGAGCATCGTGTTAAGTATTTGATTAACAAATCCATAACGACTATTTTTTTCAACAGTTTCTCGACACCGTCGGGGGTTGCCACTGATGTTAACTAACGACCATGGAGGATCCGGCTGGGTTGAGGGGGTTGGAAATCCGGTCAAACTTTGGTGGAAATGGCTATTGGTCTCAGTTCGAGTAACTCCTTACTTGCTTTAGAAAACCTAGAATGTTACAGATCTCATATGCATTCAATCATGCTCATTAACTTCCCAATTAACTCCATCTCCTCGTTACTTCAACGTTTTCACATTCATTGCATCCTCATTTTCTTCCAGTTTGTGAATCTGCATTTATAAATAGCTTATATTGTATACTTAAATTCACAATTTCATTCATCATAATGTAAATAACACGAAACCTATTCACAAAATTGATTTCGATGTTGAGTGATTATGAACTGAGATCAATTGAGGAAACATTACCGTCTCTGTAACTCATGCCAGGAAAGGTGCACGTGTTATTCTTAGGAGACCAGTCTAGGGGGGTGTAGATTCTTTTAAGAAAAAAGTTTTTAAGGCTTATAAGATGATACAGTTCTCCAAGACTGAGATGACGAAGATTAAAGTGAAAAAGAAAATAATGTAATAATTGTTAATCCTCATTGAATTTTAGTGATAGGTGGGAAAGTAGAAAGCTGAATGGGTAAAATTAAGATGTTTGTTCTACCGTTAAGGAAGAGCTGGAAGTTCTAAGAGAGATATAAAAAATCGAGAGCTAGCGACAGAAGCATGAAGATGAAGAAATATTTATCAAATGGCCAAAGAAAGATAAGTCAAATATGTGCACGACTTCTCATGTTATTATTATTCTGGTTTTATTGTTCTATCGATAAAAAATAACTCCGGTTACTAACAAAAAATATGTTCTTCACCAATGTTTAAGAAAACAAAAACAAATAAAAAATGCTAAGTATTGTATCTGTAAATATAATTAAAGCAAGGATATACAAAATTTAATAAAATAATGAAATCACAAAACTTTGAATATAAAATTTTTTAATGGAATGTTAGGATAACCGAGGCATTTGTCAAAAGATGAAAAATTGTATATAAGTGAGATTAAGGAATATGATCAATTCTTTCACGAGTCCTTATTACCTTTATTTGTTCCATCATAAATTGATTTAAATTATGTTAACTATTATATTCAATCACTTAGTTTCGCTCAAAGTCTAAAAAAAAAAAAAATATTCTGATTTTTGATTTGGTGTTTACTTTCAGTTTTTCGATATAAAATTATAAATACAAATTTTCACATAAGATAAAATTTATATTTTTAAAAAGTATACTATGTACTTTATCTTTTGTGAAGTATTTCTTTTCACCTTACTTGATTCTATATGTGTATGTATATATATATATCACATTGGATTGTGTAGCCTAAGAACATCTTTGCAAACTAAGCATTTGCAAAACGTAGTTATCAATTATCATATATTTACTTTTTTAAAAATGTATCTTACTTTAACATTTACATGATTTGGACTAGCTTTTATAAAATGAATGATAGTTAGGCTAACCAAGTAAATAAAGGTATAAAGCTAAGTTGAAAATGGTAATGTTAATCACTCAGAAATTCTTAGTAAGAATTCTACACATTACTTAAACAGTATCTTAACTTCTATAAGGCATTCTAGAATACAACAAACTTATTCAAACAAATCAAAATTAACAAAATTAATAAATAACATCATAATCATTCCATTAGCAGTAGATACGACCAAATACTACCGCCTAAATTACCAACAACAACATTATGCAAATAAAAAAAATTAAATTACATTCTGCGCGTAGCGTAGATCCACCCTAGTTATCTTAATAAAACTTTAGTTGCTTCAATAAGTAGTGAGATATAATTAACTCCAATTGTTTTGTGTGCTGCTATAGATGATAAGTGTAGGTTTTATATACTTAAAAAAAAAAAACTTAGTGATTATTAAGTGTTTACTATTTTTAAAAAAAAATTAAAAGAATAGCTTAAATGATCATAAATAATGTAAGAAATAAATTATTTCTTTCGGAGAATAGAAGATAGATAGCTGCGACGTGGACTGGATGAAAAAAATTGCTTATCATTGGTAAAGATTAAGTTAGTTAACTCAAAATTAAGCAGATATCTAACATGTTTTTTTTTATATAATAAGGATACATACCTAGCATAGCTGGGTAGGTCATTCTTTATGTGATTGTA